GTGGGATATCTACTTTAAGTTTATGTTTTCTCAACAGTTTCTGTATAATTGTGCTAATATTACTTATGTTACACAATAAGCTATTGACCTGCATATGTTTTAGCTCTTCTTTTTTTTCTAGCTCTTCCTATAATGGAAAACTCCAATAAACAGAGCTTTTTTTTTCAAAAATATGAAGGAATAAGAATGCTTAGCAAACTCAAGAAGCATGGCTGTTGTCACTGAGCAGTGGAGGGAGAATTTTTGTGGGAGAATTTTCCAACTCCATTGTGGAAGCATGCAGTATCTGTATGGGCAAGAACAGCCAAACTTGCAGCTGGCATGTGTGTCTGTGCCATGGACGCAGCTCTGTGTTCTGCACGGTAATTAATGCTGAGTATCAGAGAGATTGAGGGGATTTTAGGGAATGGGCTTCTCACAAGCCCAGCTTAGCTCCGCTCCACGGCCGGGCCTAATTTGAGCGCTGCGGAGAGCCGCTCCAAAGCTGCCCTCTGTCCACCTGATGCTGGATCTCTTTCTGCTAGACCTTTTCAGCTGCGGGTGTACGGCGTCTTGTTAGCGAAGTTTCCCCACATGCCTTCCAGATTTCATCAAATCCTGATGAACGGAGGACAAAATCCCTCTGTTTTTGTCAAAACTGCTGTCTTGTGTTTTCAAAAACACTTCGCAAGATTTTGATGCGCTCAGAGTCTAAATAAATGATACATCTACACCCCAGGATTACGACGATGAATCAAAGCCCTTTTCTTTGCGGTGAACAACAGAAAAAGAGAGAGAGAGAGGGAGGAAACTCTGTCAAAGGAGAGATCAAGAGGTAGAAATAAAAGTTAGCTGAGATGCTGGGAGGAAGCAAGAGGGGTTGAAATGAGGAGAGGAAGAGAAGTTATGAGGATCTAATTGAGATGCATAATTTACACAATGTGTGTTGTGCCTTTGATTTTTATCAGGAAAGACAAAAAACAAATAAACACGGAGTGATATTTACTCAGTGGGTGAGCGGGCGTCCTCTGTTGTCCGCACTCGTTCTGCACACAAACCAGTGTAAACATACACGCACCTCTCTGACCACTCTGTCTGATTTACATTTTAAACAAGGCTTCGGTAGGAAAGATGAGCTGGCAGCCTGCAGCTCTCATTGCCACTGTGTGCTCACGGACGAATGTGGTTTTCTTTTTTTTCCCCCTCTTTTCTGCTTCGTATTCTTCCTCATTCTGACACGTTAGTTCCAGTTTAACACTCCGAGGCAGGATGTGTCAGATTTACAGCATGCTCTTGGCTGCGGTGCTGCTGAGGTAAGTCAACCTCGCCTCATGCCTGCTGATATCTGCCTCAATATGACATCATGGCATGAAGGTGCTGAGAGGCTGACTCGCACTGGCTTTAAATTTTAGCACCCGTGTAAATCCCCTTATTACACATCCGCTCTCTAAATGTTCACACCTGATGCAACATTTTCTGTCCTTATTACACCCACATCTTGTGACATATCAGTAAAGACATCCATAATGACTGCCTTAGAGTTCTCACAGCGAGCTTTCAGGGCAAGGTCACAGCCTTTTTTCTAAACGCTGACCCCGGCCTCAGACTCAGCCCTGCTCTGTATTAACATAGTCACGCAATCTGGAGCCGCTTTTCATTCAGATGCACTCTGACAGATGCATTCCTCACTGGTAGTGCCTGCATGGAGAGCTGAGGGAAACAGGAATGCTATCATGAGAAATCAAGAGGAGAGACACTGCAGATTGTTCTGTGCTTGCCAATATTTAAAATCTTAGCTCTGGAAATATGAAATTAATCATCTTGTTTTAAAAGGTATTTACTAGTTTCTATCTTTGAATTCATGGTATGTTCTTAAATTGATGATAAATATGTCTTTTATGCCTCAATTAGTCAGAGAATCTTAAAATTGAGTAATTTAATGGTAAAACAAGGTAAATGAAATGATATTCTCTTTCACTGAAAACACTTCATTCAAGATTTAGTGACACAAAATTGCTTGATTTCAGAATCACACATCCAGTTTCTCTTCAGTTCCCTCTGCTGAGGTTTTCTCATTCCGTTATCGAGTTTGATTTTATTTCAGTCAGACGTTTTTTTTTCTCTCTGATGTTCAAACAGTATAACCTTTTTTTGTTCTTCAGTGGTCCAATGTCATCTCTCACTCAGTCTCTCTCTCTCACTCTCTGTCCCTCGGTTCAGTTGTCAGAAAATGTTGAGGGAAGTTTCACTTGCAGTTCTGGATGTGATTTCAGTAAAACCATTTTTCTGTTTTCAGAAGTCTGCTCTGAGATTAAGGGCTAGTTTTAAATTAAATGTAGGTTTAGACCTACCTATTTCAAGAGGAACCGAATTGTAACAGCAGAATCATGTTCCACTAATATTAAATCATTTCTTTGGCCTTCAATTTTTAAGTGTTCTAAAATTAAGAATGCAAAAAATTGAATTAAGAATTCTTTGCTAATATTCAGTGTATTTCACTTGTTACCGTGCTGTAGCAAGACTGTTCTCAAGTAATTTTGATCTAACACCCAGCATTTCCTACTAATTTTAAAGCTTATTAGAGCCTTTCTAGACTGGAACAAACTTACTTCAGGATTTCTTGTGAAGTAAACAGATCATTTCACTAGTATTAAGTCATTTTCTCCTCAAATTCGGTGTTTATTTCTTGTATTTTGGCTCATCTTTTCTGAGTCCTTAGCTGCCCTCTTAGGCACAACCTTCTATAAAGCCAAGGCATCCAGCAGGTAGAGCAATCTTGAAGGAGTCTGATGTAAGACTGAATTAAATTTTCATTTCTGTCTGCAGGATCTTCGTAAATCACTCGCGAACCTGAAATGAGCATCATTAGCTATAAAAGTGACAAAGTTCTCTGAGTGCTGGTATGGGTTGAGATGGAAGGGACAGGGTGGAGGTCATTACAGATCACAAGCATGACCTGCTTCTCTGCAAGTGCTGTGGGTTTTGCCATGCAGTATCACTCCACTCTTAACACAAATGCAACTGCCCTTTTGAAGCTTCTTTAATGGTTGTAAATAGCCAAAGAATTGAATTTTGCATTCTTTATTGACTATTATTACATTATAAAATGATTCTACCATTCTAAAATTTCTAGAATTGAATCACATTATGTTCATTGTTACTTCTGACCTCTTTATACTGAGTATTAGGGGTGAAAAATTGCAATCATGCATTGTAATACTGATTCAATTGTATGAATTTTGCATTCTTTATTGGCTATAATTACATAATAAAACAATTATAATGTTCTGAAATCCATACAATCATGAATCAGTATCACAATGCATGATTGCATTTTTTCCACCCCTAATACTCAGTATAAAGAGGTCAGAAGTAACAATAAACACAGTGTGATCTTTGGCACTTTTTGCATCTTTGCTGTCTGAAACAGAGGACAAATCAACAGTTTCTGAGTCAGAGCCAGGATTTAATTGAGACTGAAATATGGGACTGTACTGGAAAATATACAACTTTCTGTCATCTTAAACGTGTTTCAAAGTTATCATTACTACGTGTCTTTCTAATTAGGGGTCCCAAAAGTTCCAGACAACTTTCATGAAGTTTTCAAGACTGTCATGAAGGAGTTCTTACAATGCAACTAAAGGGCAGATGTTGAGAGAAATGCTGTTCATAGCTCTGATGCTTGACAAGTGAAATCATCATAAATCTAGTCAGTATATCTAATATTTCTCATTATGAGATTGATGTCTGTTACAAGACTATTGAACCTATTTCTAGATAAGCAAACTCATCTGTCAATGCAAAAAAAGTGAATTTGCTGGATAAAATTTCTTAACACAAGTATACGTGTCTAGAAATTGGTTGAATGATCTTATCATATTCTTACATCAATCTCATAAAAAAAATATTGTACATAACAGGGGTCGGCAACATGCGGCTCCGGAGCTGCATGTGGCTCTTTTACTGCCCTGTTGCAGCTCCACAGCCGAATTAGATTTTTAGGTAAAAATAATTCATTATAATTCACTGTGAACTGCTAATTCACCCTTTAACCCTGACGATTGGCACACAGACTGCTGGTCACCACAGCGATGCAGACAACCATCCTGCCTAGCAAGTAGCTAACGAAAAAACAAAGAGAAATAATAAAGACAGACATCTTATTTGCATCTATAGCACTTAGCTGGTGTCCTGCTGCATTTAATCTGCAGCAAAAAACTCTCAAATGCTAAAAAGTTGCGAAGCTGGAGTCAGCTTCTTGTTCACAAGCTTCTTGTTTGAATTTTCCCATTCCACCTTAAGTGGTGCAGCAGTTACCTTCTGGCGCTTTAGGCATCATTTAAGATGGAACGGGAAAATTCAAACAAGAAGATGTGAGAAGAGCGACTATAGGTGAGCTAAAGCTTAAAGCAGAGCAAAGTAAGTCTGCATTTTTATATATTTTTTTGCCTATACTAGCACATCAGCGCATACAGAGACATATTTACAGCCAAGATGGTAAAATGGACATAAAAGGTGGTTTGATATTTGTTGAAAGGACAAAATGGCTCTTCTCAACATTTGGGTTGCCGACTGCTGGTATAGCTCAATGAGATTAAAGATGATTTCACTTGTCAAAATATAATTTGCAGAGTTTGCGAAGTGGTTAGCTTGAATTATAAACAACAGTGCTATGTTCTGGATGCAAAAGCGTCATTACTTGTTTCATCTTAGATCCCCCTCTTGTCAGTTCGAACACAGAGGATGGTAAGTTCTCCCATAAGAGTGGACATACCTGTACTGAAACCTTGTCTTGTCCAACCTTATGGAGCAGAGCATCATCAGCAGCATAGCTCTTTGTCTCTGTCATGACCTCTCAGCGAAATCGTTGGTCAAATGCAGCCATTGTCCTCCCAGCATGCCAGCTCATCTCTGTCTTTGTCCTCCTCTGGCGTTTGTTGTACGCTTTCAAGCAGGCTAATCGTTAGACCCATCATTTCACTGCTGTTTTGTGTTTCCCCCTTTTTGTTCTCTCTCTCTAGAATACCTTCCTGCCGGCCAAGACAGAGGAGGACATCTTTGCCCATTTGGGGTTGGACTATATTGAGCCTTGGCAGAGGAACGCATAGGCCTCGTCTTATTCATCATCCGCAGTCCTGCAGCTGTTCCTGTTCCCCGCTGTTTTGATAGCACACTGCTGGACTCACTTAATGCCATCAGTCACTGATTCATCTTACTCAAAAGCCAAAGCATTGAAAAATGCTTTGCCATTAAGGTTCATTGTATGCTAATAACACAAAACAACTTCTGCTTTTGAAACTCTTTTTTCTGCATGTGCTACAAAACCAAAAATGTGCAAATGTATGTGATGTATATATGTGGTGTATGTTTTTTCTTTTTTCTCATTTTATGTAATCATTGAGTCTCTCATGAGTAAGGGTGAAAGAGATAAGGCATGAAAGGTAGAGGAGAGAGGGTGAGAGAATTGCTGTAATTTTAAGTGTATGTGAATCCAGACTGCAAATTTAGGACCTTATGTGGCTATAATAAGTGCAGGTGGAGCTGAATAGCAGTATAACTGATATTGGATTCCACATTCACTGAACATCATTTACTGAATACTAGCATCTAAGGGCCTCATTAGTGTAGAATAGCTCCAGACTGCTGAAATAATAGTGCACACTCAGTCGTAGATTCCATATGATCATCATCTTTAATCCCAGTGTTTAGAGATTTAGCAGCACAAAACGACTGAAGAGCTTTTCTGTTTAGCTTTCACCTCTGTTAAAAAGCCAGAGCATTACAGGAGTAGAACTACATAGTGAATAAAATCACAGTAGCAGATTAGCATGATATGAAAAGTCTTTTTTTTTTTCTTCAATTTGTTTGATTATTAACTCACTGTCTATTAGGAGCTTATATATTTATATACTTTGAAGTGATTTCATTCAGCCAACATTCAGATGCTTATTTTTATTTTCGCTGCGAACAGTGCACTGATGCATTCATGTATACTTTACAGTATGCTTGCACTTCTGGAGATTGACATTTTTTTCATAGATCTAACTGCAGGCATGTTTTTGATTTTGTTGTTTAAAGCTGATTTGGGGCTGGAATTAAAGGGTCCTGCATTCACTTGGCAAACATTCCTTTTGATATGTGGTGCAGTTTACACAAATAAATAACCAATGAACTGTATTATGAACTTTTAAATATAAACAGAAATCTATGGAACTATTTTTGCACTCCTCAGTAATATTAATATATATTTATATCTAGTGTAGTTGCATTCAGAAAAAACAGTGGAAATGTGGTGATCATCAGTTTTTGACTGGATATTCAACACAAGAAACTGAAAAAGTCGGATGGCTTTATAATTTACATAATAAAATAAACCAAACACAAATTAAAACATAATAAAAAACAAAACAACTAAACAGAAAACAAATGATGCATTGTAAATGCAGAGGCCTTTATTCATTCCATTAAAGTGTGTTTCTCAAGCTGTGTTTTTTCTATGGTTAACTCCTCTTGGGTGGCTTATTATGATTTTATAGACTAATATTTGTGTCAAGAGTTCACATTTTTCCTTTTAAAACGTGCTGGTAGCATTCTACTGCAGTAGCTTTGCATGCTAACAGCTTCACACCCCACCGCACAGGTTCATAGACCCTTTCACACTTCTGTATTCGATGCGATGTGAGCCATCATTGTAGGGAAAACATTACAATAGTGGCAGCGTTTATGAATGAGAATGAAGAGGACTCATGTTTTTATATTTATATAAGTTATTTACTTTGGTGGAGCAGTTTTCATTTATAAAGAAGAGCAAGCTTGACAAGGTATATGTTAAAAGTGGGCTACTTACACCTGCAGCAATATGGATTTAAACATGGTTAAAAAAAACTATCTGTGAATGGGAGAGGAAATATGTGACATTATCTATAAATTAAATAAAATCTGGTGACGTTGGGTAGGGCCAGTGCACTGTGTGGACAGACTACAGCATTCTATGTGGTGATTGTATTGATTGGTAAGGTTATGTTTTAATGCTTTTCCACAGCAACATTAAACATCAATGTTAGTTAATTATATTACAGCTTAAACACTTAAGTGATTAAACATTGTCATAGCTGGTTAACTAACATAGGAGTACTGACCTGCCCATTTCAACACTGGACCATGTACAAAGCAACACTAATACAGGGGAAAATGTATAATTGTTAAGATAAATCACAAAATACAACCAAAAGAAAATGAGGTACAGCTGACTCCATTAACCTTACTCCCAATCTGCACAACACTGACTATAACCTATTAACTTACCTCTGAAATCAAGCAGGTAATTCTCAGAGAACTTGAAGCCCTTGTGAAAACTGATCCACCAAACTAAGAACATCTGTTATGGAAAAATTATATGTTAACAAGAACATTAAAATAAGCAAGTCCTGTACATCAGAGACATTGCAAAGGAGAACTTTGCCTATACTCTCATTTGTAAATGTCGCTGCTGCTGTAACTTTTTCCCTACTATGACAACTGCCGCTGCGTGAAGGAAGAGTGGTAGTCAGGCACGACTTTTGGCCAGTGACTCTGAGAGTCGAAATGCTTTGAGTTGACTCTTGACTCTGTGTTTTCTCATTGTAATTGGCTCAAGGGACATTCTGATGGAAGCATGTGTTGAGTTTGAGTAGCATGAGTTTGTTTAGTAGATTAATAATAATTCAGCATTGCCCGCCAGTCGCTGATAAAAATGTGGCTGGTATGTCTGCCTTTACAGTACACCACTCGGCACTCTAACTATGCTATGGAAACAAACGAAGGAACAAAAACAATAGTAAACAATATTTTTCACAGAACATTGTGTACAATAAAATAGCTAAAGACATTTTTTTGGCTGCTTCTTATTAAAGTTTTTGTTCCACCTTAAATGGTGCTGCAGTTATATTGTTGTGCCTGTTCACTATTTAGGTAACTACTGCATCATTTAAAGGTAGGTGAATTATTTTAGAGACCGCAGCCCAGGGGTGTAAAAACCCCGTCCAATCATTTCATTCCATGGCTTACCTGCCTGTCTATCTACCCACCTTACGACCTGCCCACATGCACGCACTCTGCACGTGTACTCTTTTGCTCATGTGCGGAGTCCGTCATACATCTCTACACACGCACACACACACACACACACGCACACACACACACAGCTGAAAGGTAGTGAGCTAGGTTCACAAGAATAGCAGAGAAAGTTATGTAGATACATACAGCAGCTTTCATTGTTAAAGACAGAAATAAATAAAAAAAGACAAATAAAAAAGGCATTGAACAAAAAGAGGTTGAATAAAGCAAAAGCTCAAACCAGACTGAACATCAGTGTGACCTTCCAACGGTGGTGAAACCTGAGGGAGTTGAACGACCTGGAAAGCAATGCCCACGTTGCTGTTTTTCTGTTGAACAAGTAAGTAACTGTCTGGTTTGTTTTGTTTATGGGGGAATTTGTTAGTTTCCTAGGTTGTGTAGCCAGAGTACTAGGCTACTTATGTAACTACATTATATATCAGTCCAATGCTAAGTAGCTAAGCTCTGGGTGTAAGCTAGCTAGCTATGTTTATCTTTGTGTATATGTTTGTTGGTGTGTTCATGTATTTTTGGGGGAGTAGCTTTGGAAGGAGGGCTAAAAGTAGGGAGTGGGATTTTTTTTCGGTTGAACTTCTAAAAACTAGCTTATATTTCCTGCTTTCTACAAAATCACCCACTCCAGCTTTAATGTGGGATAATACATTTGTCATAGAAACTGGCAAATATGCCAAATTCAGACTTATGGAAAGTGAAACAAGATAACTTCCAGCTGCTCTGGAATGAAAACTTTACTTTAAATCTGGTTTACTGGCTTATAAGCAGTGACATAGGCATATTGGGTAGACCTGTGAAAAGTAGGTAGGCCAGTTTGGTAGATATTAATTCCAAACACGCTGATGTCCTGCAACATCATTACATCAGGGTTTAGGCTATTCCTGAGGGCTGTGCGGCCATCATTTTACCTATTCCAACACTTCCACCCACTATGGTGTTACCACAATATTCTGGCAATCAACCAGAAAACTGGATTAACATAAGCACAACTGGATATCAATGGTGGAGCTTGGCAGAGAGCATAATAATTTGATTGGCTATAATACAGTGACAGCGCTTACAGAAAACAAATCAAATTTATCTTAGAAAATTTGACGTAATAAATATTCCTTCCCCTTTTGATTGAGTAGGCTACCCAGGCCTACCCCTGGCTATGCCCCTGGACCACAGCAATGATTTTCTCAGTTTCCCATTGAAGCTCAAGCTCCCATCAGGAGCCTCATCATGTGAAATCTATGAAAATATGTGAATGTGAAAAATGTATCTGCTGCATCATTGGTCCAGCTACCTGGTATTACTTGGAATAATTACAAATTTTCATCATATCACTATAAACTGTAACTATTCAAAAACTAGGTAAACTACATTTAGGAAGGTTTAACATCTGGTGGATCCCTTTATCACAGGCACTGGAGCTGTCTTGGTTTTAAATTAAGTGAAGTCGACTCTATTGATTCCTGCAACAGGAGTCAATTGTTGGAGTCTAATCCAGAAATCCCGAAGCCGTGCATCGTTTCTGCTCTGTCTCATAAAACACAGAAACAGTGTGCAGGGTAGTGAGGGGAACAGGCAGGGTTTAGAAACGAGGAGTCAAGGGAGTGTTTACAATTTTCATAAAATCATGTATATTCATGGCTCTTTGCATTCTTAATGAGTGTCAAGGTTTAGGGATGCTCCTATGCAATTTTAGTACTTTCTGGGGCATAACAATAACGCATAAAACAATACTTAATTTAGTTTAAATTTATGACTGTAGGGGTACTTTAATTTATTTCTTTGCCTCTGTATGAAGGAAGTAGGGTGATACATAATTCATTTCCATACCATAAAACCAAGCAGATGTAACATTTGCTTATACTTACCTCCTAAAACCCCTTTATGGGACTTTCTTCTCAGCACTCACTGGGTTTCCTTTTCATCTATATTGTAGCATTACAGTAAGAGTCTGCTGTGTTCTGGCCGAAGAGCTGCCCTCTTTTTACACAGGAGGCTTTCATAG